TTGCCACCAACACTTCATTTGTTTTAGAAAACAAGACCCACTAACTAACATGGACCTCTCAAGTTGATTTAAAAACATGTGCACGCCCTCTGACATAGACCCGAAACTGATTCAAGAAACATACCGAGTTCATTTAGGCCAGTAAGATAGACCAAGTGCAAAATCAATACGAAACCCCTAACATAGATACCAAACTGTTTTCAAAAATATCTAATTCTACTAACATAGATGTAATGGTTTACGAGTGAAATCCATGAAAGAAACCTAACATAGATCCGAAAATTGGACGAACATGCTAAAATATGCCAAAATTGTTCAGGATCCTATTAACATAGATATGGGGCATCAAGTGCAAATCCATCCAAAACCACTAGCATAGACATCATAGGCATAGATGTTTATTTGGATTTCCCAGATGCAACATTTTGTAAAAACATGTGGGAAACCACTAACATAGATCTTGGAGGCTGCATTGCAAATTGCAAAAACAAACAAATATAACATTGATAACCTAAATATAAAAACGAAAAAATAGACACAAAACCTCTAACAAAGATATGCTGCGATTCCAGAATGATGCAAGTCTGACCGTCAAGGATATTAACAAAGATATTTACTTTTTGAAATGATTTTCACATCCTCAGTAGTTTCAAAAAATGATACAATTTGAAATGATAATGAAGAACTTTGTTTCGCATTCAAACATGCTTTGTAATTTCCAGAAGCATTTTTGGTGACAATTCTACGCAATTTGAAATAATTGGGTTTTGGTCCTGGTGTACAAAAACACAACTAGGACTATAACAGTTTGCAGACGAAAACCATGGAGAGGCACGCATTTTTGAAGCTCACATGCATGGCAGGACAAGCAAAGGCTTGGTTGGTCACGTTTGAAAGGGTGTGTTTGGCTCGGTTTTTTCGGTCAAACATAAACCGTACTAGAAAAAAAATCGGGCACTCGCATATTCTAATGATTGAAAATCTGATAAAACGTTGTAGGCTATAGGTATCGACAGCTATTTAATTTCTTGCCGATTTAGGATGATATATTGCAGGTCTATGGTTCATTCATACGATGTTGGTACAACATTTGGGCCAATGTGGTACAATGCATAGTCCGTACAATGTTCGTACCATGTTCGTACAATGTTCGTGCAATGTTCGTACAATGGCCAAAAAAGTTTGTACAATGTTCCTACAATCTACCACTAAAGTTCGTACAATATTGTACGAACTTTTGGCCATTGTACGAACATTGTACGAACATTGTGCAAACATTGTACTCTGAGTCTCCGAAATTAGTAAATTGTGCAAAATTACTTAGGAGTCTAACTTACGTAAATCAAAAGATCTGGTCAAATTTTGTGGCGACATCCTAAATTGATTTAAGTTGTAACCAAAATTTGAAAATGCATGAAACGTGCATTGCATGTTCTTGTGTTGTATGTGTTTTTGATGTTTCTCAGGCAACTTTCTCAGGCAACTTATGTGTGTGATTGAGTAACTTGTGTGTATGATTCGTAGTTACCTGTGTGTACAACGCATGGTTACCTGAGTGTAATTCATAGTTGCTTGAGGGTAATGCAAAGTTATTTGAATGTAAATCACAATTACTTGTGTAATTCACAAATCCTTGTGAGATAAACTCATAAAAAACATTGCGTGCACCCACAACACCCTGGGAGTTGAGGTTCCACTGTTCTTAATCCCTTTGTGCGAAGCAAACGTGCAAAATGCCGCTGCCTTTTTCCAAGCCAAAAGGGCCTTGACGATCTGTGCAATTCAAGTGATGTTCACATGAAGTGCAATGAAAGTGAAATGCTGTTTCATCTCGATTTGTGCGTTTCATCCTTGCTTCAACTGCCATGCTATGAGGAATGAGTAAGCTGCACATGATTTTGCACTCCTCCTCTGCCATTTGACGCGCGGCTCACATGGCAGTCTGAAAAAAAATCTTCACCTTTCCAAACGTGATGGTCAGCGCTGCTGTCTGACCAACCACCCTTCAAGCTGAAAACTTCAAATGCCTCCTTGCATGAGGCCATGCATGTCTTGGACATAACGTTGGAATCTTTCAGCCACCTGAATAGGCGTTGGAAGACATTCCTGATCTGTGTAGTCACATTCAACGTAAGGCCTTCTGGTTCAGGACCCGACGTTGCTTCCAATAGCACCATTATGGCCTGCTGGATTTGATTGGCTTCCAGCCAGCGTTCTGCCGCAAGTGCTGCATTCTGGTCCAACCTCATGTTTTCCAGCAAGGCGGTAGCACCACCACCACGGGATTGTTCCACTGTTGCATCATTCTCCAGTGTTTCTTCTTCTGAATTTTCTTCTCCATCATCTCTGTATTGTTCTGGGACATGGACAGAGTCTGTTGTGTCTGCTGTATTTCGAAGAGACCAGATTGTAAAATTCCCACGCTCTTGAACCAACATATGTGATCGTTGCTCACGTGACAAAGTTGAGAATCTCACAAATCCAGAAGCTGATTCCATTAGTCATCCATATCGTAGACAACTCTCTTCAAGATCAGCTGCCGTTTCATTCAGTTCTTCTTCAACCACTGCAAGTCTTGCTGCTATGCCATCCACTGCATCATCCCTTGCTTCTGAACGTTCCACACACTCATAGGCGTCCCTGTGGAGTAGTTGGTAGGGCGACGTTCTTGACGTCGCGGACAGACTACCGGTGGCGGTTCGATTCCCCGCTGGTCCGCAGGCAAGCCTCAAAGTGTGGTGACCAGGCGAAAGCCAATTGGCGCCGTCCACAAAAAAAACGTTCCACACACTCATCCAGTTTTGCTGACAAGTCAGCTGCATAGGAGCAATGGTCTGCCAGTTGCTCTTGCGCTGATTGCAGTTCATACTGCAATTGTTGAAACTTTCCCTTGACCATTGCAAGCCAACGCAAAACACGCTTCACCGCAAACCATCCACAAAGCATGAACACCATGAAACCAGCAACGCTGAAAACAAACCACTTCAAATCCCAAACTGAATCACTCTGAGGAATCTCAACGCTTGAACATTTCTGTGCAGTAACTCCAGTTGGCTCAAGGCCCATTGCAAGAGACATGTTGAGGAGGACTCTTGCAATTTTCTTCAATTGAGTCTTTGTGCCCAGCTTGGAAGTGTGCTGGGAGTGCTCCTCCTGTCCTACATTCTCAAACGTTGGGATGTAGACCAAACCAATCTCATGCATGAGGTAAAAGAGTCGCTGTCTGTTCAAAACTTTCGTCCCTATGTCAGCCAGATTTTCCAAAGTTGGGATTTGTCTAAGCTCTATGCTGCCGTCTTGTGTCTTTTGCTGTATCCATAACACCTTGCCAGAGAGATGTCGAACTTTTCCATTGCCTTGCCTGCACGCAAGTTGACGTGCAGAGCTGCTGTCTGTGAAAACAACATGCTGTATTTCACAACCCAGTGCAAACTCCAAACAGGCACGAATAAACACTCCATCACAAGTGCATGACACCAAACTGTGAAGCTCACTCTCGCAACTGGATAGGGAAATCACACGCTGGCTGCGTGAGCTCCCAAAAACAAAGCATCCATTGACCATGTGGATACCGCATGGGGTACTGCGGCGATGAGCCTTGTTTGAACTCCAATCGGCATCACTCATGCTTTCAGGAATCCACGCGCAGTTGCCACTGGAATGGAACTTTCCAGCTCCAGGTTGGGGTGTGTCCATTCTGACTCCAACATCCCCTACCCACTTCATAAATCCAATGAGCTTGCGCAAATGTAAGAGTGATGTTGTTGTAGGTGCAGACATCACAGGCCACTTCCGTATGCCCCCCCTGCCGGGGGGGTACTTGTTACAATGACCACTGCGACATTCTTGCCAACAGAGGATTGGACGATTGATGTTCTTTACATTGTGGCCTTCTGCACGAGCACATCTGAGAGGACGCTGAGAGAGGCAATTTTGTAGGCCCGCGAACATGTACAGTTATTCTTTGCATCGATGCTAACGAAGGCAGGCACGATGCTTTGATTTCCATGTTTCACTGAAGGTCGTGGTGGATAATTCATTTTTGGCATGTTTTTGTGCGTGACGCAGTGGTCAGACCGCTGCGTCCTGAGGCAAATCTTTTTTGTGGTTGTTTGCGTTTGGGCTCTGGCCCCTTTTGTGTGTCTGGTTTGCTTTTCCTCGTGGCGAAACGCAAATCTGGCTGGGGGATTTGCGGGTCGTCCGGCTGTTTTGTGTTGTTTTTGGTTTGTTGTGATTTGCCTGCATTGTCGGACCTTTTTGGGTCCTTGTACAATGATGTTTTACTGCTTATGCTCATGTAAGGACCGAGCCAGAGTGCGACATCGGCCATACTCGAGGAAAAAAAACCGCTCAGAGTTTTGGTTCCGTCACATGTCTTTCAGTATGGCGATGTATTTCTCTGTTGAACTTCTTGTTTAATATTTCACGCCATACTGCCGATTCCAATTGATGCACAAGCCATCACAATCCTCACCCTGCTGGCTCATGTCACAATGCCGGGTTTGTTTTGTGGGTTTTGTTTTGGTTGTTTGGTTTGTTGCTTTTCGGTTGTTGCTTCTTTTCTTTGTTTGGTGGTTTTGTTTGTTTCGGCACTGTGACTATTATCCAGGACTATTCAGCTTGTCCTGATGCCAGCATTTTTTCTGTTGGGTCCATTGATGCGCCGTGTCGGCTTTTGCATCACTACCCAATAGTTATAGTCAATTCATTTCTTGCACTAACATGTTGATCGACCTGGCGAAAGCCAAGAGGCGATGGACGGAAAAAAAGGAACATTTCCCTGGGCTAGCTTCTCACTCCAGAGTCGGCTCCGAGCTATTTGTTCGTGTCAAGTCTGAAAGAGAAAATTCGACAGTGGCACTTGGACTTGGACACCTTGGCGTCAACGCATTTCTAAGCAGGCTGAATTGCTTTCTCAAGAGAATCGCAAACCACTCTCAGATCAACAGCTTCTGCAACGCATGTTGAACCAACAGGACATTTTGGACTTTCCTGAGGCGATGGTGCCGGCTGGTGGACCTGTTGAGCCTGTCCTCATCAAGTTTCAGACGTTGCTGGCCAATGCACTTGCCATGCTGCAGCTGGTTCATTTGACTGTGGTGAAGCGTTTTCATTTCAAATTCAACGAATTGGCCTTGGCATCTCCATATGACAGTTCTTTGCGCTCTTGGCAGCTGACAAAGCTGTCTGGTCAGCAGTGGCCAGTGAGGTCGTTGAGGTGGCTCATTGCGCCACGACATGCAGTCGGCGCTCCAGCCCAGGCTGAAAGTGGTTCAACATCCGGTGACACCCAAAAAGACTGACCCACCGGTTGCCCCCAAGAAGACTGGCAATGCTCCACCGATCAAGAAAGATTCACCTGTGAAAGGCTGGCAAGACTCACGGCTGCGAAAGCACAATGGGAAGGGCATCTGCATGCGCTAGAATCTTTCCAAGTGTGGTAGTGGAGACAGTTGCAGCTACTTGCATGTCTGCCCCATCCCGAAAGCGGATGGCACTCTATGTGGTCAAAAGCATCCTGCCAAGGCCCACAAAGGAGCGTCCCACTGAATTCCGGCAAGCAGTTGTGCTTTGAGGCCCCATTGGAGCCACTTCCAGGTGATTTTTCCCCACCGGCGTTACCTATGGTTTTAGACTTCTTGGCCCATGGCAGTGCAGTTTCATTCAAAGTTTTCATTTTTCTTGGATATATTTTCGGGCGCTCATCTCCTGTCTCAGTGGCTGAGAAAGCTCTGTGCGGACACCACAGAACCTGTGGACTTGATTTTAGGGTTCCATTGCGACCTACTGGACGAAAAGATGTTCAACAATGGATTTAGCTGCATCAGGTTTGATCGGCGGCGTCTTGGCTGCTCCATACTGCTCGAAAAATAGCATGGCTACCTTGCGGCCAAATGGACCCAAAGCCTGTAAGAACGCCTGATGCAATTGACGGGCTTCCAGATAACACAGTCTTGCAAGACTTTCAACTGCAAGAGTCGGCCACCATCCATAATTGCGGAAGACGACTTCTCAGTATGGTCGCTTGCAAAGGTGGTTTCACTATTGTTGAAAATCCACTGTCCAGCATGACCTTTTTAGATCCCGAGATGGTGGCTTGGATTGTCCACGGTGTCGCCTGACCAGGAACGTGTCCAATGTGAATCATTCTGGCGTTGTGGGCTTGACTTTTTGTGTTGTTTTGGTGGTCTGTGTTTGCTTTGTTTGTTTTGGTGTTGATGATGACGGCTTATTGGACTATGTACAGGTCCTTCACCAGTTCTCTTTTGTGGCCCTCAAAAGCAGACGGCCTCGAGTGTTAATTTGAAATTACTTCTTTTGCAATGCCATAGAGCGTGTTAAACGACCTGGCGGAAGCCATGAAGGCGTTGGACGGAAAAAAAAAGTGGCGTTGTGGGCTTGACCAACCTGATATAGTTTGGCCGCTACTTGAAGAAGAATGTCAAGCAGGTTTCATTGAGAAGGTTCCGGGCGGTCTACAACAGTTGCAGGGTGAATTTCCTCAGACAGTCGTGGCGGACACCAAGACTGGTGGTGGACTCAACAGTATCCGGTGTCAACAAAACATTAGTATTCCAAACCGGATGCTTTTGCCGCGCATCACAGATGTCCTGCAGGCTGCGCCAGAGATGGCTTCATCTATGGAGCTCGAGGCCTTTACTCTTGACATCTCCAAGGCGCACTGACGGATCAAAATTGCCCCTTGCGTCCTTTCATTCTGGTACCAGAACACCTACTGGTCCGGGGTGGCAGGCTTGATGGTCAGATGTTTTCATCGGCCTCACTTTTCCAGTACACCGTGGATGATCTACTGATTCTTTTGGAGGCATCTACATCACCTGTTTGGATTGGCATTCTCACAATCACATGCTTATGTTTGGGTATTCCTATGTCCTGGCACAAAACCTCGGTTGGACCCCAAGTCACATGGATAGGCTGGCAGATCAATGTGAAGCGGTGGGTGATCACTCCGGATAAACGCACCAAGATCTTGTCCCAGCTTGACACTCTGCTGCGAAGCTCTACATGTGATCATGTGATGTGAAGACTTTGGAATCCTTGACAGGACGCTTGTTGTGGGTATCCTCACTTTGGGAAACTTTGCGGCCACTGTTGGGCCCCCTGTACCACGCACTTGCGAATGTTCCTTTGACGTTGGTATCTTTGTCTCCCATCCAATGGGTGGAACTGCTTGAGCACCTCTCAGAGGACCTGATTTTGAGGGCGTCTTTGTTTCATCTTTCTTTGCGGAAGGGTGTCAAACTTGTGAGGGTGGCCAACTTCAACATTCGAGATCTTGCTCATGCTCGGTCTCTCAACTTCAAATCTCGCCGGATCTGGTTGGGCATTCAAATTCCTGGCTCAAGCAAGCGCAAGATTACGGCTGAGACGAAAGCAGCTCTTCAAGCCTGGCGTGATACTAATTATGGTGGGTACCCCATTTCATCACAACATGGTTCCAGCATCACCTATTCCACATTCAGCTTCTGCAGACGCATGTGCTTCAGCTCGTGAGGCTGGCATTGGAGGTCTCTTGCGTCTGAATGGAAATATTGTGGCTTGGTTTTCATTTGCGATCACTTTGGATGAGGCCCAACAGCACTTCTCATGGGTTTCTGATTCAATGCAGAAACACATCAACGTCTGGGAATTGCTAGGGCAGTTTGCTTTGGCATATTGCTTGGACCAAGTGTTGCCACAGCGGAATCATGCGATTGAGGCATGCTTCTCATGTGACAACACTTCAGCTGAAGCTGCCCATCTCAAAGCTCTGTCAACTTCAGCTGGCATGTGTCAGGTCGTAGCTGCATTTTTTCGCTTTCAACGTTTGAGTAACATGGCGATCCATATTCAGCATATTTCTGGCATGTGGAATGACGAAGCTGATGCCTTGAGCCGGTTCAAAAACCTATCAGACTATGATTCAACTTTGCGCTTGCAAATCCCATGGCAGTTCTTGACTTCACCTCAGATTTCACGTTGCCCAGAACATGCGAATTTTCCTCGCACCTTGAGCTAGTGTGGCGTCCAAAAAAGATGGCTGTGCATTTCATCATTTCCATCGATTTGCATTTGGGGGTTTTGTTTTCCTCACGGTCGATGGTTCGATTTTATTTGGGGTGCAAAACCCCCGGTTGCTTGGTTACCCATTTGGTTTCTGAACTTGTTGAAGTGTATAGCTTGCATTTACACCGCTGTGTTATTTGGACCTTTATTTAGTCCGTGCTGACTAATTTTTTTCGCCACGCAAAAAGGATTGAGCTGTTGGCAGCGAGCGCGTATTCTCATATTCTATGGGTTAACGGTATGTATACCTTTACGACTTTACGCTTTCTTATGCACTTCGTGCACCGCATCACCCACAACTTGAGCAACGGAAGTCTAGCAAGTGAACGGTTGATGTTCCTGATGCCGACCGGGAGGTTGAGCCGCCAATTGAAAGCCGTTCCAAGGGTAGCAGCAGTAGTGTCCATGATGATGACACAGATTTCAAGAGATCATTGGGTGAGAAGGCTCTGAAGGAGGAAGCTAAGCCTATCCAACAGCTGCTAACTCACATCCCAAAGAATCCCTACAGCGACATATGCCAGAAGGCCAAGATGTTTAAGCCACCCTCAAGAGCTGTAGGCGGATCAACTCAAGTTAAGGCTGAGAAATTCGGTGACCATATCACTGCTGATTTCATTGTCACCAGAGCCGAAGATGAATTGGGAAATGATGAAGAGAAAAGTGCACTCGTAGTGAAGGACATAGCCAACGGATTTATATATGTCTACCCCAATGCAAGAAGAACCACCAACGCTGCTATACTGGCAATCAAACATTTTGTTGGACACAATGATGAGATTGGAGTCTTCTACAGTGACAATGCTCCAGAGTCAATTTCAGCAATGAAGATTCTTCAATGCCGTCACGTACTCAGTAGAGATTACATATCAAAGTCCAATGCACAAGCCGAAAGAGCAGTACGTTCAGTTTTGGAAGGTACCCGTGTCAATTTGCTACAAGCAGGTCTGAATCATTGGCACTGGCCCCATGCTGCCTGTCATCGGTGTTTCATGCAGAATGTAATTGCAACGGGGGGTGACAAATCTCCGTGGGAATTACGATTTGGTTCAAAGTTTGATGGTCCACTAATTCCTTTCGGATGCCTTGTTGACTATTGGAACCGTCCCAGAAAGAAGAACAAGGAAGGACTTAGATTCGACCCAACATCAAGCCCCGGATTATTCCTTGGCTATGCCATTCACCCAGAATTAATGTGGAGAAAATAATTCATGGTTGTACCTACAAAAGATCTCATTGAAAACGAGTCCAACGGCACTGCATCCATATCGCGAGTTCTCAAGTCAATAAACCAGACGAAACCCAGTATCCTCTCCAAGGCAGAACTACGATTGAAAAGGATGACCCAGGACTTTCAGAAGCTCTGGGGAACCAAGAGCCGACTTTGGAAGATGAGGATGCTGAGATGGTTGATGATGACGGAACTTCAAGGGAAGACTTTCAGTTGTCTACCGCCCATGCTGTTCATGATGAAACATGGCTACCCTTCATGAGGCATATCAAAGATTGTGAGGGATGGTATGAGTATGTTGATTCTCACGTCAACGTGAAGAGAGACTGTGATCATTACATTTCTCCCATCAGCAAATTCTCATGTTGCAGTTGGCTTGCCAATAGCGGTTTATGGTGCAAGTGAGTGAAGCGATGCTGCTTCCCCTGTGCAAAACAAAAGTATGCAAAGAATGCGACTCTACTGCCTGCTATGCTAGGCACCAGGTACAGGGTATGCGCCCCCTCTTTATCCCTTGTCCTCTTTCCTATGCGGTGTGTGTGTGTGTGTGTTTACGCGCATATCAACTTCTGTTTATGGACTATGCGTCCTCCTTCGGTTTATGGACAACGCGTCGACGCTGTATGTTCTGTTGTCATGCAACAACCTTGGAAACCTCATGCGCACAACAACGTGCAATCAACTTGACAGGAACAAATCACATGCCATACATGATCTTAATACGATACTACATAATATGTATGACAGTGCAACATACGATATGAATTTATGCGGATGTGATTTGATGTCATCTTGTGCTTTCAACATCAGTGTAATGCAGATTTGAAGAACTTTGTTTGTTTGGAATTTTGATTCAAGCATGCGGTGGGAGGGAGGGCTCATCGCTCACTTCATTTGCAATGCCCATTTGATTTGGATGCGCCAGCGTGGTTCCTTGGGTCAACGTGGCCAGATTGCTTACAATTCACCACTGACCTTTGGGATTCATTCTCAATTTCTGCAGTTCTCCTCATTCACGTGCTTCAGTTTGGGATTTGTGACAGCTTTTGCATTTATCTGTTGGCTTTTAGCCCCGTACATGGATGAGTGAGTCCTCGGACACAACTCACGAGGCTATTTTGCATAACCTGGTAGCACATCAGGCCGCACTGAAACGCCAGGTGTCTCAGGTTCAAACAGATTTGCAATTTGTCAAGGCTCAATTGTCACAGATTCTGGAGCGACTGCAGCATTTGCAAGGGCCACCAGGGCCACACGTCTCCTCTGGTGCTGAAGTTGAACGGGGACCCCAGAACCAACATGACAAAAGAAGTGGGAGATGAGCATATCATTTTTCATGCAAGGCATGTTTGGACATCCATGCACTCATCAGGCATGAAGCTTCCATGGGAGATTTCGATGCCGGCACTGAGTAAAGAGGCACTGGAGCCTTTTCGCAAACGAGTCAAACTTTTTGGCAACATGGGACCTTGCAGCACTCCGAAACACCATGACCCAGTAGACCTCTTCGACAAGAAACGCAGCAGCTTTGCAGATGCGGGTCTTCGTTTGATGAAGAGGACGGATGAAGCTTTCTGGGAACAGCAGATCAGTTTTGATCGGAAGGCTGCTTACAAGAAGAGGACATCGCTTATCCTGGAGGATCCGGGGTCTTGGAGTGTTGCGAGGCCAAAGTCTGGCGATAGTTTGTCAGAGTTCCTGCAAAGAGGTCTCAATGAGTCAATCAAAGATGCGCTGGGAATCAAAGCGACCAGCACACTGCATGGGCGTGCAAACCCACTGGTGCGCTACGTCCAATTTGCGAAGGCGAACAATTTTGAACCCTTTCCAATCAAGGAGCACGAGGTCTACAGGTTCTTGAAGGACTCAGACACTGCACCGACATTCCCAAGGTCTTTCATCACATCGGTGTCTTTTGCAAAGCATGTTTTGGGTCTGTTGCAAACTGACGAGGTGCTGGGCTCTTGCCGTGTCAAAGGTTACATGGCCATACATTTTGCGAGGAAACGCAAACTGGTGCAAAGACCCCCACTGTCGGTGAAGCAGATCGAACACTTGGAGCTGTGTGTCAAGGACTGCAACCGGACGATGTACGACCGTATAGCAGCAGGGTTCTTTTTGCTACTGGTGTTTGGAAGGCTGCGTTTCTCCGATGGGCAAGCCATATCCTCCATGGAGCTTGAAGTGCCAGTGGGATCGAGCCACGGGTACCTGGAGTGTGCTGCAGAGCGTTGCAAGACCTCAACAACGCTTGAGAAAAGGACCAGACTGCTTCCGGTGGTGGTGCCCACTGTGAGCTTCACTGAAGGTGGATGGATCGAACCCTGGATGAAATGCCGGGAACAGCAAGGTCTTACAGTTGGGCCAGACAAGCCTGTGCTGCCATCTCCGGCCGCAGGAGGAGGCTGGTCTCGAGTTCCTGTGACTTGCGAGGTGGCGGGTGACTGGCTCAGGTCATTGCTCAAGGACGTCCCATGCAAAAAGACGTTGGTCCGGATTGCCACACACTCATGCAAGTCTTCGATCCTCTCCATGAGTGCGAAGTACGGCATGGAGCCGGCAGCAAGGAGATACCTTGGATACCACTCCTCGGGCAAGGACAAGAGCATGCTCACCTACAGCAGGGACGCAATGTCCTGGCCAGTGCGTCTGATGGAAGAAATGATCCGGCAGATCAACGACCACAACTTCGATCCCGATGCATCCAGAAGTGGCTATTTCCCGGCAGGAGAGCCAACGGTGTACGAGGGCAAAGAGAGGGAGTCATCGTCTTCCTCCTGTGACTCGAAGGATGATGAGCAATTTGAGCACTCAGCCGACGAGCGAGCCTTGGAAGAGGTGGCTGGCACTTGGGGTGGTGAAAGGCCGGTTGAATGTGCGGTCTACTTCCGACATCGCATATCGCGGTGTTTGCACGTGACTGCAGACGAAACTGGAATGTTGCTGAAGTGCGGTCGCATGGTGACGGCCCAGTACGACAAATGCAATGGGACACCGCGTTTCTTGCACCCTTCGTGCACTGCCCGTTTCAGAAGATGAACATTTCGTTCAAGTGATGGGCATCGTTGCTTATGAGCTTTAAAAAAACACGACAGCGTCAGTGCAAACGCTGAATGCCACATGTGAATGCAACATAGGAGTTAATGCAAACTCTCTGAAGCGGTGCACTTCATGCCTTGTATGTTGCAAAGCTTGATGTACATACTTTCAATTGGAA